CCCAGCACCAAACAGGGTGCACAGCCCATGCCAGGCCCTGTCCAGGAGCACTGGGACACCCAGCCAGGCCACCAGGGCTATTTTTGCCAGGCTCTGTCATTACCAGGCTTGGATGATGACTATATTTAAAGTTCCAGAGCCATAGGCAGTGCCTTATTTTATCTCTGCGAAGCACAAGGGCTGTTACTGGATTTACAAACAGAAATTACAACCCCACGACATGTGTTTTTATCTCCTTTCCCTTCACAGGGGATTTACTGGTAAATGCAAACCCTACTCAAACTCAAGCCACGTGGCAAAGTGCCTTAAAATCCCGAGGGTCTCGAGGTAAGAGATGGAAACATCTCCTGACATTTTCTTCATCATAAAGATACGGAAAGGCAGAGGGAGGAGGGTCTGCTGCCCTGTGCCAGGGCATTAAACACCTCGGAGTACTTCCCTGCCCCAGCCCCTGAATCCCATGGCCCTGGGAGGGTGTAGGGCAGAATCCTATAGCCCTGGGAGGGTGTAGGGCAGAATCCTATAGCCCTGGGAGGGTGTAGGGCAGAATCCTACAGCCCTGGGAGGGTGTAGGNGAGGGTGTAGGGCAGAATCCTATAGCCCTGGGAGGGTGTAGGGCAGAATCCTACAGCCCTGGGAGGGTGTAGGGCAGCATTCCATGGGTGCCCTCCTGCCAAGAGGGCTCCCGTGGGCAGACAAAGGCTCCTTTTTGTCCCTTACCTTTTTATAACTCCCCTCCCCGGCCGGTGCAGCTGCTTTCCTGATGACGTCACCCATTCCATCACCTCCCTCCCGACTCATCTCCTTCGCTCCCGGCTCCTCACGTGGCAACAACGGGGCATCTCAGTCCTCCCTCGGCTCTTCCCCGGGCACCGCGGGACGAGGCGCTCGCTCCAGAGCCGGGACCTGCCGCAGCCCCCCGGGCCCTGCCCGGGATGCCTCTCCAGCACCTCTCCCTTCCCGGCTGTTCCAGAGCACCTTGCTTTTCCCAAATAAAGTCACGGAGCCCCAGGCAGCTGAGGAGAGGGAGGCGAAGGCTGTCGGGGCCAGGGAAGCCGCGTCGTCCTCCAGCCACTGCCAGCGCCGGATAAAAATAGCCCCGAGCCTTCCCCGGCTACACAAGGGCAGGAAAAAACCCGGTGTCTGATGTCAAAATCCAAGCCTGGCAGCGCAGCCCTGGCCAGGAGGAAGGGGCTTTTTCTCCCGGGCTTTTCACCGTGGAAGTTATCCCAGTAAATCCCCAGGAACCCGGGATATAAGGCTGGTGGTCCCGAGCCCTTGCAGGGCTGCTCAGGCAACCACAGGATGGAATTTTCACTCTACACAGAACCCACCAGCAAGGAGCTGTTTCTTGGCTAAATCAGCTTTGTCAGGTGGAAAAAAAATCCTAAATTTCTGGGAATGAAGCAACAGAACTCGAGGAGTGACCCAGCCTTACCCCCGTCCTGTGGGTGTGCAGGACCTGGGGACCCCCAACCACTCCAGCCCTGGGTCCTGGGGGGGTCTGGGCTCACAGCCCTCAGACCTGCACTGCTTCCAGCTCCAGCTCCTGCCTCCAGCAGTCCTGCCTGGAGATCCAGCCTTCCCAACACAACCACTGACCTCCAGGTGCACAAATCCTGCTCTCCTTGCTGAGATCCCACCACCTGGATCAGCTGCAGATGGGCAGCTGGAGGCAGAGCTCGGGGCAGACATTCCTACAGGGAATCCTTAAAAGGTGGGATTCATGCCACGGTTTCCCAGTGATCCCTAAAACGTGACCCACCAGCAACAAAAGTCCTCATTTCTGGTGCGACCCAACGGCACAACAACTTAATAATTTCAATGGCCCTACAGTGTTTACGTGTCTAATGATACATCCAAGTCATGCTGACATCATGTCACCCAAAATGCATATTCCAGTTAAATTACCAGCTCTGACAACACACAAATTATGCATCCCAGCATTAGTCTATGTGGCATTTTCAGGAAAAAAAAGCAATAATAAATGTTTAATCCCAGCCTTCTCCCTGGATGGTGCTTTGTAACTGTAATTCCCAAATGAAACAAAGTGGTCCTCTGGATATTTCATTATTTTTAGTTCCCCTCCACCACTGAGTCATTGTGTCCTTTTCCTGCTGTTGCTAAATTAACTTCCTCTCCAGGCCGTGGGGATGAATCCTGACACAATAAATCAGAGACAATAAAGAATGTCATAGCCCAGGGGGAAGGATGTGGTGGCCAGGAGCACCAGGCTGGGGGCTGAGCCTGCATTTGTGACCAGTCCCTGCATCATCCTGCCCTCACCCATTGGAGGGGGATGTTCCAGTGTCTTCTTCCCAGCTGGCTGAGACGCTGAGCCTGGTCCTGCTGTGCCCCTGGTACCCAATGAGCCACCCCTTTGCAAAGGGACATCAAAGCCACCCCTAAGGGTAGGAAGTGGCACAACCAAAAATGTACTCAGCCCTTTCCCCCCCTAGTTTTTAGGATATTTTATCCCCCATTCCAGGTTTCAGGCCAGCCCAGCTCTGCCCTGCCCTGGCATGCTCCAGGGCCAGCTTTGCTGATCTGAGCTGATCCCACAGAGCTGGTCTCAATCTCCAGTGAAAATCCTGCTTCCAGCAGCTGCCTCATTCCAGGCAACGGGAGAAAACCCAACCTGGTTAAGAAGCACAGCTTGGAGCCCCTGTAATCACTGCTGAGGCACATTTGGTGCCCTCCTCGGTGCCAGGACCAGACCCAAACCTGCCCCTTTGGGATGGGCATCTCCCCACTAGCAGAGACCCAGCCAATTTAAATCTGGATATCAAAACCATGAAAGAAATGAATTCTGGAGTTGTTTCAGCTCAGGGATCAAACCCTCTGCTGTCCAGCCACTTCTTCACCTACTGCACTGTGGGCCAACCCCCACCACTGTCCCTGTGGCCACTGTGTCTGCTTGAAACAACCCCAGAAAAAGCAGGATGGGAGCTACACTCTGGTAGCTCCATGTTGGCATCACTGTCCACAGGCTCCTCACACACAGATCCCACCAGAAGGAAAGTGGTCTCCACGGGCACAGCCACCAGGGCAGCTCCTCCAGCGATGCTGCAGGGGGAGAGAGAGCCTGCTTTTTTTTTTTACAGCACGAAGGGAAAGCTCAGAACAGGCAGATCTGGAGCAGGTCAGCTGAGGTGTCCCTGGGAGGGAAGCACACGGAGGCAGAGCCACGGGGAACACTCGGGATGGGGACGGCAACACTCCTTAAGCGAGGCCAGGAAATAGGACACATCAACTTTTATGTGCTTTAAACACGCCTCGGTTGCTTATGGACAAGAAAGCAGCTCAATTTAACTCTGCTGTGCATTAGTGATGTTGCTGGAGTCAATAAAACCCCCTCCATGCTAGGGTGAACTCCACTGGGGGAGGAATCACCCCCACTCCTGTTTGGGATCAGCTCCCAAACACGGCTGGATACCGAGTCAGGAGAGAAAACCCCTAAATTCCCAGGATGCATCAGTGGAAGCCCTCTGAGCCCATTCCCTGGAAAACTGGGGCACCTGGGCCAGGGTATGGAGGTGGATTCCAGGCTCATGGAAATCACAAGTTGCCAGAACTACTGGAGAAAGACTGTTTACAAGAGCATGGAGAGACAGGACAAGGCGGGAATGGTTTTAAACTGAGAGTAGGGTTAGATGGGATATTGGGAAGAAATTCCCCCCTGTGAGGGTGGGGAGGCCTGGCACAGGTTGCCCAGAGAAGCTGTGGCTGCCCCAGCCCTGGAAGTGTCCAAGGTTGGATGGGGTTTGGAGCAACCTGGGCTAGTGGAAGGTG